CAAGTAAAGGTTGTCTTCTCCTGATCCTCGGGAGCTATCAAAATTTGATTGTACCCTGAATAACCATCCAAGAAACAATAGAAGGCACGCCCAGCAAGGCGATCAAGCATCTGGTCCAGGAAAGGCAATGGGAAGTGATCCTTGCGGGTCACCTTGTTCAGCTTGCGGTAGTCCATGCATACCCTCCATCCGGTCATTGTCCGGGTTGGAATAAGTTCATTATTAGCATTGGTCACCACGGTCATACCACCCTTCTTCGGCACACATTGCACCGGAAAAGTCCATGAGCCGTCAGAGATAGGATACACCACGCCGGCATCTAACCACTTGATCACCTCTTTTTTCACCACTTCTTGCATTGCCTCATTGAGCCTCCTTTGATGTTCCAAGGAGGGTTTTGCATCATCTTCCAGAATAATATTGTGCATACAGAAAGCCGGGCTTATTCCCCGAATATCAGCTAGAGTCCATCCAATTGCCTTTTTCCGCTTTTTGAGCACCGGTAATGTGGCATCAACCTGCATGTTAGTAAGACAAGAGGAAAGAATAACTGGTAAAGTTGAATTAGAGCGCAAGAATTCATACCTGAGGTGTGGAGGTAATGGCTTCAACTCCAACACCGGGGGTTCCTCAATTGAAAGCTTTGTTGGAGGCGTCTTTCTATTTTCAAGATCCAAAGAAAGTTTCCTGGGCTCATAAGAATAAGAGCCCATTCCATGTAAAGCATTCACGCACTCCACTCGGCCCGCATCATCATTGACATCCAAATTCAACAACACGGCCTCCAAAGGGTCCTCAACATTGATCATTGCACTGGTATCATCAATTATCACAGCCACGACTAAATCCACAAATGAGCACACTTCGGTTCAATTGGGCTGCTTCATTGACTTGCACATATGAAAGACCACCTTTTCATCACCCACCCTGAAAGTGAGTTATCCTGCTTCCACATCAACTAGAGCCTTCCCTGTAGCAAGGAAAGGTCTCCCTAATATGATCGGGACCTCATAATCTACCTCACAATCCAATATCACAAAATCAGCTGGCAAGATGAATTTGTCCACCCGGACGAGCACATCATCAACAATACCCAAGGGTCACTTCATAGATCGGTCTGCCATTTGCAATCGCATGGAAGTTGGCCTCGGAGGCCCAATACCCAAAGTCTTGAAAACTGAGAAGGGCATCAAATTGATACTAGCCCCTAGGTCATACAAAGCTTTAGCAAAGTCTGCACTCCTAATAGTGCAAGGGATTGTGAAAGCACCGGGGTCCTCCAACTTCGGAGCCATTGAATGCACTATAGCACTAACTTGGTGGGTCATCTTGATAGTCTCGCAGTCCATGGATCTTTTCTTTGTAACCAAATGTTTCATGAATTTGGCATAGCCAGGCATTTTCTCCAAAGCCTCTACCAAAGGCACATTGATAGATAGGCTCTTCATCATATCAATGAACTTTTTGAACTGATTTTCATTTTTCTGCTTGGCTAGACTCTGAGGATAAGGGGGAGGTGGCCTAGGCAAGGGTGCCTTGGCTTTTGGCACAACCGGCTCCGGCATGTCAATTACATGCTCCCTAGACGGGTTCACGGCATCTTGAATTTCCACCTCGGCCTCATTAATGTCAATCCTCACTTCATTGTTCACATTATCATCAACCACATCTTCAACTACCAATAGAACTTCATTTTCTTGCAACTCAACATCATCATCCACAACTTGCTTTTGCTTAGAGGCATTCACATCACTGCCTCTCCCACTTCTTGTTGTAACCGCCATAACATGGTTGTTCCCACCCTTTGGGTTCACTACCGTATCACTTGGTAGAGTACCTTTCGGGCGAGTATTCAATGATTGAGAGATTTGGCCTATTTGCACCTCCAAGTTTCTGATAGAGGTATTGTGGGAAGACAACTGTGCATTCGAATCCGCATTCTTCTTCATCATTTGTTCGAACATCATTTCAATTCTACCCATATCATTGTTGGAAGAACTAGCACCTTGAGAAGGGAAAGGGGGTGGATTGTTCGGTTGTTGGTACATTGGGGGCCTTTGAAAGCCTTGCCCCCGGTTTCCTTGGTTCCCATTGTTCCATCCACCTTGATTGTTATTGTTGCCCCAATTGTTGTTATTACCATTCCAATTCCCTTGGTTGCCTTGATGGTTGTTCTGATTTCCCCAGTTGTTATTTTGGTTGTTCCCCCAATTACCACTGTTTTGTTGTTGATTGCCCCAATTGCCTTGAGGTCTCCACTATTGTTGGTTTGAAGAGTTGCCCCGTTGGCCTTGATAGTTATTCACATATTGAACCTCTTCGATTTGTTCATCATAGCCATCATTTTGAAACCCATCACAATCATCATCAAATTTCTCAGAATTTCCTTGGTTTTGTTGCCTTCTCTTGTTGACAAGCATATTAACACCCTCCATGGCATTCACTTGGCGAGGATTTTGGACTTGTTGCAATTGTGCCTTAGCCAATTGGTTCATAGTAGTTGTCAACTCCGCTATAGCTTGCCCATGGTCATGTAATTCCTTATGCAAATGAATAACCGTAGGGTCACCTTGAGGAACATTGGCTCTACTTTGCCATGCGGAGGATGTATCCGCCATCTCATCAAGAATGGCACAAGCTTCATCATACGTCAATTTTTCATAAAATTACCCCCAACAAGTTGATTCACTATGCATTGATTTGTAGTGTTGATGCCCCGGTAGAAAGTTTGTTGAAACATATTCTCCGTCATGTCATATTGGGGCATTCCTTCACCATCGTTCTATACCTCTCCCAAATCTCATGCAAAGGTTCCGTGGGCTCTTGCTTGAAGGCCAATATCTCATCTCGAAGTGCCGCCATGTGCCCGGGTGAGAAAAATTTAGCAATAACCTTATCCGCCAACTCATCCCAAGTAGTGATGGAATGGTTGGGGAGTCTCTCGAGCCAATCCAATGCTTTCCCCCGAAGTGAGAATGGGAAAAGCCTCAACCTAAGAGCATCCTCGGACACATTCGTCTGCTTTCTCCGCTAACATGTATCCACGAACCCTTTGAGATGTTTGTAGGCATTTTGATCCGCAGCGCCCATGAAATACCCACGCTGCTCAAGTAAGGTCAACATCACATTGGTTATCTGAAAATTGCCCGCTCGGATTCTAGGTGGGACAATAGCACTTGCATAACCTTGGTTCGGAAGCACTCGAGGAACCGCTCTTGGAGGTGGTGGAGGAGGGTCTGGAACATTGTCATTTGCATTGGCCTGGCGGCCTCTACGTTGCCCTTAAGGTACAAGAGGCACCTCTTCTTCTCCGATGTCATCTACCTCCTCCCCCACATTCACATTTCCAAGAGGGTCATTAGCATTTAAAGCCATTTTGGTACCTGAAGTATTGACACACACAACTTAGTAACAAGAAGGAAAGAAGAACAAAACGCAAACCTAACTAAGTAGATAGCCAAAACCGTTAGCTCCCCGGCAACGGCGCTAAAAAGTGATCGCTGCCAACTCCGCACTACTAATAAGTAGCAAGAGAAGGTCGCAATAGCTTTTACCCGATTTTGGGTCGGGATCGAATCCACAGAGAGCTAGAATTGGAATCGAGTATCTATCTAGTTTAGGATTGCGTATGTGTTCTTAATGACACATGGGATTTTCTTTATAATTCTACTTTTAACAAACTACAAATACTAAATTAAGCTAAGAGTTAAATATTGCAAGTTGTATCTAATGGTTTAAAGGGCACTAGGGTAGTGACTACCGCCTAGGTGGTCAATTGACGGGTACTTGAAACTAAGGCACGTTTGACATGTTTGGGGAGTATGTTATAACCATTTCACGACTTTACCCTCTCTACACCTCTCGGTGGTTCGAGTGATTTTGCCCAAATTGGCTTTCTCAAGACCAATTGGGTATGCAAATTTGCACAAGCAACTAGGGTTCAATTCGGGTATTACTCTCTCGAGGTTTAACCCTTTAATTGGGGCTATCAATCTCTTGAGTACGCCCCAATTCATTGTTGGACCAATTTCGGAGACTTAGGCTCTCTTTCTCAAGAAGAGCTCAAGTCAACTCAACACAAACTAGTGCTTGCAACCACTAATTCAGAAATTAACCATGAAATTGGCCCAAATAACAAACAGCCATAGTCAAATTAGCCCTAAAATACAAAACCCATCAATTACCCATACTAGGGTTGAGCCACAACCCTAGCTATGGGGTCTAGCTACTCATAGTTAAAGAAGAAAAGCAAGAAATAGAAGAAGATAAACACATATTAATTAATTGCTAAGCTAAATACAAAGATTCAATGACGGAAAGTAAGTAAAAATGCCCAAAATGTCCAAGAAAAATCGTCTCACGAGCGCAGCTTACGTATTACAATATCTGATACCCTAAAAATGGAAAAAGAATCTATTTATATTAAGCTGAAAAATCTTGACAAAAATGCCCCTGCGGGTTAGTGCGGACCGCACAAAATGGACCGCGGTCCGTACTGGGTTTGGTCTTCAGAATTGATCTCTCTGAACTTGGGCTCCGCAGACCGCACAGAATGGACCGCGGCCGCGGAGGCTTCTAGTGCGGTCCGCACAAAGTTGACCGCGGACCGCATAGGCTTCAAACTTGAAAAATCATCCTCTCTGAATCTTGGCACCGCGGACCGCAAAGAATGGACTGCGACCGCGTTGCCTTCAGTGCGGACCGCACAAAATGGTGTGCGGCCGCACTGCCTTAAAGCCTGAAATTCAACTCTCTGAATCTCCCAGTGCGGATCGCACAAAGTGGTGTGCGGCCGCACTGGGCCTGTTCTGCCTGAGCTTGCCTTGTCTTTGGCACTTGTGCAAGTTTCACTCCTTTTGAGCCGATCTTTGACATTTTGTCCCTTTTTTATCAAACCTGCAATCAAGCACAACTTGTAAGCCTTTTGGGACTATTTTGTATGAATATTTGATCAAAGCATAAGCAAGAAGGAGTATAAAATGCGTCAAAATCCCTAGTTATCACTGCTTGTCCACCTTTTCTCCATAGAGCTTTTGGGGAAAAGGTAGAGCAGGCATGTGCTTGCTAACATCATTAGATTTCCCCCTTCTTGAAGTTTCCTCCTTCTTCTTTTTCTCAGCTCCCTTCTTGCCTTTCTTCTTCTCAGTCTTTTTATCATCTTCAATTTTCAGCTCCTTCCCACTTTCTTTTTCAGGCGCAGCTTCTTTTTGACTTGGAGTGGCATCTTTCAATACTTGTCCGCTTCTCAAGGTCACAACATTTACTGTTTTCTTGGGATTCTTTTCAGTATCAGCTGGCAGAGTACCTGGATTCTCTCAGATTATATATTTGCAATTTGTCCCACTTGTCCCTCTAAGTTGCACAAACTTGTCCCAAGTTCTTTGATAGCTGCCCCATGGGAATCTAATCTCTCATTAGTCTTGAGAATGAATGACATCATCAAATCTTCTAACCCAGACTGAATTGGCTAATGAGGTTGAAACTGCAGCCTCGGCTGATTCACAAAACCAGGAGCTCCTTGAAATCTGGAGTTATTTTGTTGCCATGCATTTGCTGTACCCCCAGTGAACTCCATGAAAAACTGTGGTGCTTCTGACCTATTGCGATAAAGTTGTAATTACCCACAGTATTAACTTCCTCAGTTGAGGCTTGACACTCATGAGTAGGGTGTCCTCTTCCACATATGTCACATGCTGCATGAGGCTCATTATGTATTGAATCTAAGGTCAACTTCCTTATTTCTTTTGCCACGGCATCAAGCTGTACCTGCACAGATGTGTTAGCATCAACCTGGTGAACACCAGTTGATCTTCTTTTTCCAGCAATCTCTGAGGGCCACTGATTTGCATCTTCAGATAATTCATCAAGAATAATGACTATCTCCTCTAGAGTCTTCTTCATCAATGTACCTCCAGCTGCATTGCTCAATATTCTGTGTGAGGCCAGTGTCAAACCATCCCAAAAATCCTGGAGTTGCATCCTGAGTTCAATTTCGTTGTGTTGATACTTTCTGACTATCTCCATAAACTTCTCCCATGCTTCAAACACAGTTTCAGTCTCGTTTTGGCAGAAGTTATGGATTTCTCTTCTAAACTTACCCGTCTTAGCTGAGGAGAAATATTTAGCAAGAAATTTTCTGGTCATCTCCTCCCATGTTCTAATTGATCCCTGGGGCAAGCTTCGAAGCCAATGTTTTGCATCATCTTTGAGAGTGAAGGGGAATGCCCTTAGATAAACTACATCTTGTGACACACATTATATTGGGAGGTGTTCATAATCTCTCAAAGTCCTTCAGATGATTGTTTAGATCTTCGTTCATCTTTCCTCTGAAGACACAACTGTTTTGGAGGGTTTGGAGAACCCTTGCTTCAATTCAAAATTATTGGCTACAACTAGTAGGGGTCTCACACTTGATAAGCCTTGGTTGTAGATCGGTCTAGCATAATCACCAAGTGGTTTCCTTGGCCGGGAGCTATATTTCCGAACTGATCTGCACCATGGGCAGATTCTGAGCCATTCTTCGAGCCCTCTCTTCTTCATATGCAATTTTTGCATATCTTATAGCTGCTTCCTCAGCATCCCGAGCAGCTTTTTCTCTGAGTTAAGCTGCCACCCTTCCAGCCAAATCAACGTTATTATCATCTCCAGCCATATTTTCATTGGTTGAGGATTGCCCAACCTTCTCTATTTTCTCGGGGAGATTCCTTTCCTACCTCAACTGTCGTAGTTGTTTCTCAGTTTCTGGTTCATATTATTGCACTTCTTTCACAGAAGATTGAATCACGCACCAATCTAACCTGTAGCTTGCGCACAGTCAAAGAACAACAAGCGTAAAAAGAGAAAATAAAAAAAAAAGAAAAAATCCTTAATTAGCACTACAAACTATTTCAAACACTATTGATTGCCAATACCCGACAACGACGCTAAAATTTTACGATCTCTGAACACACACTTAAATATGCTCGCTAGTCGAATATAGTAAATTATAATATCATATCCACAGGGATTGGAGTTAAACAATTATTTTCGTAGTTTGTAGCTAGATTGATATTCAAGATGACCAAGAGTTGAGATTTATGCGATTTAAACTAAAATTAAATAAGAGTCTAAACTATTGGCTAATGACAATCGACGCAAGTATTAAGCAAAGGAAGTTATCAATTGGGAGAAGATAGGGTTGATAGGATAGGTGCAAGACAAATGTTAGGATTTAACTCAATTTAATTCACTTCTAATGTTCAAGTGAGTCTCTCAAATTCACTTGGTTATTAGTTCAATTGATTAGTATAACTTCTCTCTCGATTAAGTCTCAACATCACAAGATGAACCAATTTTTAGCATGTGAAGATATGCACAAATTCGTAGTGGATTAGTATTTGGCAGAACCTCTTTCAATTATCCTCCTAACTTAGTTTAATCAACAATTCGACTATCCTTTTTCGATTACTACGAAGAATTGATGAATTCAACCAACAAAACATAACGCAAGAATATCACAAGTTATGCCTCTCTCGATTACACAAGCTAGTGAAAATAGATGCAACGATTAAAATATTCAAAACTAGTCAATACATAAAAACTAGTGTTAATTATAAACAAACAAGTATCAAGACACCAAATCCATTAAACCTTAAAGAGAACTAATCCATGGATGGAGTAATTCATCATAATAATGTTTAAGTTAAAGGAAAACATAAACAATCCAAACCCTTGTCTTGAGTGAGGATTGAATGATGAAAACCTTGTGCTTTTGCTTCTCCACCTCCTCCTTAGTGTCCTTACGTATAAGATCTATCAAAAGTCCCAAAAATACCATTTTCCATGTATATATACCAAGTAGGGTCGGGCCCAAATGAAAACACCTTCTCCTACGCGAAATAGGACACTTTTGCATAGTTGGATGTGCGCGGCCGCGCACCTAGAAGTGTGCTCCCGCACTTGGCCGCACATTTTACACCCTATTCTGCCTCCAGTGTGTGACCAGTGCGCGGCCGCACACTTTGGTGGTGTTCTATTGGGAATTTAGGAATGTGTAAAACATGAAAGTTGTGTCCCTTTTAAATAGATTTCTAATGATATATCGTGGAGCCCAAACGGATTTCTGAGTGAAAAGTTATGTGCATTTTATTGGACAATATGCAGTATGCCTGCTCGATTCTTCGTTTCATTCTTAAAGTGCACTATCATCTGTTAATCCCCGAACACGATCCCGGCTTAATTCCTTGGGCTTTTACTCAGACTTCAAAGCTCCAGAATAACTCGAATTTATTTCATAACATCTACAAAGCTCGGAACCACTCCTACAAGGCATAAAACACACAAATTAATGCAAAACACTAGCGATTAAAGCTCCAACTCAATTAAAGTGCAGTAAATTAGAGTGCAATAAGCGACTAAAACAGAAGATATAGCCTACCATCAAATGGTTGAATGGATGTTGACATATGAGTAAGCGACTCCAGAACATAGTTTCGATGGTTTCGTTAGCTTCATTGGGTGATTTTTGACTTAGGAGCGTGTCCGGATTGTGATTTGGGGGTCCGTAGTGGAATTAGGCTTGAAATGGCAAAAGTTGGAAATTTGGAAGTTTGACCAAGAGTGGACTTTGTGGTTATAGGGCTCGGATTAGGGTTCCGGGAGTTGGAGTAGGTCCATGGTATCATTTGTCACTTGTGTGCAAAATTTAGGTTCAATTGGACGTGATTTGATAGGTTTCAACGTCGTTTGTAGAAGTTGAAATTTCTTAGCTTCAATAGGCTTTAATTGGGGCATGATTCGTATTTTTGATGTTGTTTGATGTGATTTGAGGGCTTGACTAAGTTTTTATCATATTTTAGGACTTGTTGGTATGTTCAGTTGAAGTCCCGGGGGACTCGGGTGATTTTCGGATGGTTAAAGGATAAATTTTTGGACTTACCAAAATTCTGGAATTTTTTCTGGTGCACTGATCTGGTTTCCTTATACGCAATCGTGTGAGAAGGTCTGCGGTCGCATAGGCTAGTTGGAGAAGCCATGATATTTGTTCAGTGCGACTGCCAGTTATGGTACGCGATCACGTAGGTTGGGGGAAACAGTGCATCGCGAACGCATGGGCTTGGCCGCGTTCGCGAAGAGGAAATGGTGCAGCAGTGGAGTTCATGCATTATTTTTTGCGGTCGCGTGAGGGAGAACGCGATCACGTAGGTCTGAGGAGGCATTGGTCCGCGGTCGCAGGAGTGGAGACGCGTTCGCATAGGCTTAATTCTAGGGCAGCTGAGTTGTGCTTCGCGATCGCGAGGCAGTTTCCACGATCGTGATTAAGGATCACTGGGCAGAACTTTAAATATTTCAAAATGAGGGTTTGAGTTCATAACACAAACCAATATTAAATTAAAAGACGTTTTAAGCTATTAATTAATAAAATTCCATAAATTGAGTCTAAATAACAAGTGCGGAAAATAACATAAGCCCGACATCGGGGTGTCACAAGTCACGAGCATCTACTAGGGACTGTCTGAATACAACTAAGACTATCACAGTCTGGAAATTACTAATATAATCTAAGGAAGATAAGAGGGAGAAGTGCAAGGCTGCGATCGCCATGCAGCTACCTTGCCGACTCCGGATATCCGCGATGGATGAAGAATCAACGGTCGCTATCACGACCCGCAACTCCTGGATCTCCACACAAGGTGCAGGGAGTAATGTGAGTACACCAACTCAGTAATTAATAAAAGTAAATAAAGACTGAGCAGTAAGAAACACATAAATCCATGTCATAACACCACAGTAAGTACAGTATGTCTCCAAAACAGTTTATAAATCAAATCATCTCGTTAAAATCCATTTTCAGTAAAAATCCTTTGAAAAATGTTTCTCTAACAGTTTCAACAGAGGTTCAATGAATTTTAGAGTAAAAATGATGAAAATCATAAATAGCATGTATCATAAACCGCCCCTCGGGCATAACACCACTCGTAATCAGCCCCTCGGGCACAACATGAATCAAGAACAGCCCCTCGGGCAACATCATAACACTCACTCAGGGTAACCGCGCTCACTGGGGATGTACAGACTCCGGAGGGGCCCCTACAGCCCAAGTGCTATTCTCGTGGCATAATAAATCAGGCCCTCGGCCTCTCATATATCCCATGATATCCTCACAACACAGGCCCTCGGCCTTACTCAGTCAGAAACCTCTCAAACCACTTGGCTAACACTAAAACGGGGTGCTCAGCCCAAAATATCATTTTATACATCAAAACGGAGTAAATAAGACTGAGTAGGGCTGTGCATAATTTGGTAAATACCGAATTACCGTACCGAAACCGAAAATTATGGTATTTGGTATTCGATATATTGGTATTCAGTTTAAGTTTTAAAAAATATTGGCATTAGGTATGGTATTTGGTATTTTAATATGAAATATCGATACCGTACCGAAATATATATTATATTACACAATACACATATTATTAATTATAACATAAATATAAAAATCTAAAATTTTACCTTCCTTTATTCTCTAAGTTCATCAATTAACTCTAATCAAGTAATAAGACATTTCTTGATCAAATTTATTCTTTTATGTATAGTTTTCTCTCATTGGTTGATATTTGCTAGTTTTTGGATAAAACTTTTGTCAACAAACGTTTTCAATTTTTTACTATTGAGTACTTTAATTAAGAATATTATAGTCTATGACTCTGTGCACTAGTTAGTATTCAAACCGAAGTTACCGAACCGAATAAACCGAAACCGAAAGGAGAAAAACCGAACCATACCGAATTTAATTAGGTACGGTATTGGTATAGCATTTTATGAAACCGAATACCGAAAATACCGAACCGAAATGTCTAAATACCATACCGTACCGACCGCCGAACACCCCTAAGACTGAGTTATGAAATCAGTAAAACATAACATGACTGAGTACAGATATTAAATCAAAACAGTGAGGAATAGTAGTAAAAAGCCCCTAAGGGTCCAAACAGCTTGGCACGAGGCCCAAATATGGCATTCATCCCCCAACATAGTAATACTTTCTAAAATACATAAGTATCAAATAGTTTCCAGTCAAACACGCAACTTAATAGTTGCTACGGGACGGACCAAGTCACGATCCCCAACAGTGCACGCCCTCACACTCGTCATCTAGCGTGTGT